GTCCGAACTATGATTTTTAATCTGGGACCGTTGAGACGCAAGTATGATTCTTTCGCTAGCATCTGGGTTTCTTTTCCAAAAAAAAAATATGCTGTCAAGAAAAAAAAAAACATTAGCAGAATTTCCAGGTCCCAGCGATGAAACGACATTCATACAGAGTTCAAGTGGATTTATTAAAAGTTTTCACTATTTAGACGCCAGAGTAGAGTCTCTTTCACAATTCTATAAAAGCTCTAACTTCTAAAGTATTCTAATCTCGAAAGAATTCACCGAATTATAGCTGCAATCGCATCACATTGTAATATGTAGTACTACTTTTGAAAAACATTTCGCTGTTTTATGATTATTTTGACGTGTTCCAGCCAAAAATTGTCTCATTGAAGTCTCTTTTCTCATATTTTTTCTTGTTCTGACAATTAAACTCTCTTTAATAACGAGAAGAATCCAAATGTTATTGGGAAACTACCACAATGTCGTCGTAACGAGCTGCGCTCGTCGCCTCTCCGCGCGGTCTTGCAGGGCGCAGCGCACAAAATCAACGTGGTTCCCACGTTTTGAAGTGAGTGCCTATACAGCTATGAGACGCAGTCTCTTCTGCAATCTCTTTGTAAGAAACTCAGAAATTTTTCTCGAATGGGCGCAAAATTTCAAAATGAACAACGAAATCGCGGTCGTGTTTGAAGTAGCATTGGAACACAATTCGAGAGACATGCGATTTTCGGCAATCATCTAAAAAGGCGGGCGCCGGGGCCGAGTAGTTGTGATGCTCCCGCGGTGCGTGTGGTGCCGAGCTTCTCCCCCAGCTCTATCCGTCAGTCAACAACAACGCCCCTATGGATCGTCACGGCCAGGCTAACCTTGAAATTGCAAGGCGACTCGCTCAAGCAGCAATATACGATGTTCAAGAAGTAAACGAAAAGCGAAATTTTTGCTAGAAGTACTGGTATCCGCACGTGAAGGGAACTACTGTGAATGCGAATCAGTAAAGTGAAAAGAATAAAGTGCACAGTATCTAGAAATCTTTTCTCTGCTTCAAAAGAGCTTTGCATATTTTTCGATATTCTGATATATTACGACTTTTTTTACGTGATCATAGCTTTTATTTGAGATATGTTAGAGTACGAGATGTAACTATTTTTTGTTCTACAAATATCATTCAAAAAATCAAGCTCAGTTTCAGAATCATCGTTCTTCCAGCGATTGAATCACTGATAAAACTCTCTTGAGAAGCTCTGTCCGGCGAGGAAACAAAAAAAAAAAAAAACGCCGGTGCAAAATACATTCTGCACTCTGAAAACAAAAAGTACTTCTCTGTTTATTGCAGTTAATCAGAATTCTGAGACCACCTGTATTCTTTCAGATTTTGCTGGATAAGTGTAGCACAATGGTCGAATGTGCCCGCACAACATAGCTCCTGTGGCTTCCCTCATCCGTGAAAACGAAACCGGTATCTCTCTGTGTGAAGATTGCTCATTAGAGGTAATCACCATTTGTGGAAATCCTCTAATGGCTCGTTTGTATTTTGCGCTCTTATACTCCTTATGCTTACAATAGACTTTTTTTACACATAATTGTTTCGTTATTTGACGTCCCATCATTGACACAAAGTGCCGAGTATTGCTATTGTACAAATAGATCATACTTACGAACACCGGCCGAGCGAGTCAAACTACCTTATGTACTCCTCCACAAAAGCTGGAATAATAGTAGCAAAAGGCCTTATGCAACCGTAAAATGGAATCGAAAACATTACCCATTATTGACAAATTGTTCAACGATAAACTCTCTACCCTTCAAGCTCTTGCTAAGTTGTACTCGTTCCAAAGGTTACTGTCATCTCATTTGAACTCTCCCCGAGTGGCCTCACTCTTCAAAAGTGGATGATGAAAGAACTGACTCCAAGATTACATCTTAGCATGGCGTTACCTATCAAAACCAAATATTGTATCAAAACCACGTTTTAACCAAATGCTCTCATTTACATCGTTTCCTACACAGAATTTATTTGATGTCATATAAATAATAGAGTGCTTCATCAGCAGCATTGAAACGGAAAGCTAAACAAGAAGTATAGAGTGAATCTCAAATAAACGAGCACATTGCATCCAGCCACGTAAGTTAATCATTTACCGTTTGTGCAATTTGTCGTTGTTATTCGGATCTCAAATTTATGGAGATGACTATTTCTAATAAAGGCGAAGTCGCCGAAACGGCGGCCAATGATTTTCAGGAGGACATATCAACTTCGCAAAAGCTCTGAATAAAGAATTGTTCCCCAAATTATGTTAGCTTTCTTAAACTCACGACTCAACGACTCGACGATTGTGCCTGCCTCAACATCTGCATGATAAATGTGATCGCTGCTTTATCACGATGAAAGAATAAATCAGGTCGCTGTGTTGTCATAATGAAAGAATATATGGCGTTATTGTTCGTGTACCTGGAAGGTCGATTCTAGGAGTGTCCTGCACCTCGCAATTTAAAGAAAAAGAGGATGTTTTGATCTAGGCCAACTATCGAAAATCAATGATGCCTCTATACTTTGAACATTCAAAATGAGGTGCGCTAAGAACGTAATCCGTATTAGTGACAACCACTAGACGGATAGTCGTTACGCCGTGTGAATTCCTCGGGTTGTCAAAAGCATCAGAGGATGATCATCAACAAGATAATTCGATTTCTATACGAAGATTTAGAAGAAATGCATTGATACTTAACAATTTGCTGGAGCAAAGAGGGTCCACTGAACTGCCCATGCACACGGTAGAAAAAAATGAAGTTTCACTCTAAGCCGCTCAAGTGCTGGGGATACAGGATGTCAATTCTGCCAGCACTAACCGCCAGCGGTTCGGCCTGCTAAGCACATATCGGTAATGAACTCAGTTGAGCTGATAGCAGTGATTAGCCAGCGCCCTCGGACTGAGACGTTGTCAAAATCCGGTTCGGTGTTCATAGTTTTGCATAATACTCAGCTTTATCAAACATGCAGATCTAATATTATGTCACTGCTAAAAAAGTGGATAAACAGGGAATTTCGCCGGCACTATTAACATTCTGTGTATGAATTGAAAATCTGATGATACGTTTAGGCTCTGAGAACGGCGAAATTGCCAGCAGAATAGCCATTCAAAGAAGACGCTAACCTCGCACAAGCTTTATATGATATAAAGATAATAAGTACGTAGCATCCTTTCTAAAAAGCATTCTATTGATCTCTAATCTTTGATCGCTGTAGTAATTTTTGGGGTGTGGTTCAAAATAGACCGACACATGTAGCGCAGTAGCTATAGGTGATGAACGTGGCACATTAGGCCGACGATTCCATCTCACTTTCATGATTCACCAAGACTTCGATCCATACGGGCCGTCAGCTGGTGCCAGATTTGCTTAGGAGGATAAGCAGCACTTACTCGGTATATCCTCAGGCCATCGCTAGCCATTATAAAAGCAGAAATGCATTTAACCACTCAAACGAGGCTAGAGTTGAGGACGGGCGTACGGCGCACTCCTAAGAGACTGATCAACGCCGACAGCTCTACCGTTTATCATCTGTCTGAATCAAGAGTACTTATAAAACTTTTATTTTTTAATTGAGTCTTTAATACGAGGTTGTGGATGAAATTTCCACCCGGTCAATGTTTCGCGGCCTTCAGCCTTCTGCAGAGCCGATGACCCCAATCGCGTGACCACGACCGATCGTCTTCATTGTGGATCTTCGCCTTGATTTCGTTCTATTCGCTCCTTCTTCGGGTGAGCACCTCCGAATGAAACACCTCACACTCGACGAACTCCTTGATTACCGGACAGAGTGTATTCTTAGTAGCTCAAATAATCGTTGGTGATGACTTGTTTTTTTCTTTAAAGACCACGAGAGTCATTTTGTATCTCATCGCACGACGTCAAATTCTAATCAGATACCGTGATAGCGGCGTCGCGTCTGGTGGGAAGACGAACAGATATCTAGACATGTTAGCACAGATAATAAGGCCGTTACGTCTTATGGGTAACGTAACGGCGCGTAGCCGCCTAGTGATAAACGCTGGTCTTCACAGCGATAAGGTTGTCTTTGAACCTCCATGACTCTGTATGGTTTTAGTGGGAACGGTCTGACCTGGCTACCTGAAATCTATCAAGTGTTGACTGGACGAATTTGATGGCACTCAGTCATTATTTTCTTTTCTGAAACTAGATAATGCACTTTCGCTTCAATCTCAAACCGCGTCGATCAGGGGCACCATTCCGTCGGCTTCCGCTGATGATGGAGCGCAGAAAGCTTTCCATCGCTCCATTTTAGTGCTATTATGCAACGCTCATTTCCTTTTGTATATCAAGTAGTGCACTTATATTTCAGTCTGGATAAGTGCTAACCGAAGGCACCACTCCGTCAGCGCCCGTCGATAACCGACCGATGATAGCTTTTATCTTTCCCAACTGTCCAAAATGCAACGATTATTTCCTTCTCAGTGAACTTTGTTTCTGTCAGGATCCGTGTCGGCCGTGGGCACCGCTACGATAACTCTTGAAGGTTTCCACCCAAGGTAAAGCTTTTATTTTTCTCCGCTGTAATATTACGCAACAGTTTTTATCAGTTCCTTCTTTCAAATCATATTTTGCAGTTGATGAGGAGAGGCGAGGAGACAGAGAGCAGCCTTAGGAAAAAATCTACTCCATATTTCATAGATATCCCGACTTCTGCGTGCACTATTAATCCAAAAAGTCCAACATTCCTTCTCGTTTTTACTGCTTTTTTGCAGCGTTATGATGCTTCAAATAAACCTATGAGATGTGTAAAATGGGCGCCAGTAGTCCAGTTGGTTAGAGCACGTGTTCCCACATAGAGTGAGATGTGAGTTCAAGTCCTGTCTGACGCGAACGTTCTGCACATCAATCTATATGAAAGGGTGTATTTGAAAGTTCATACCACAGCTAGAAGCGGTTAAATAAGTGAAAGTTTAGTTAATTATCTATACCTATGAGAATTGAGTGGTAGGCAAACATTCATCCTCAAACGGAAGTTGAACCCGTGTTCCACCCATACATTGGGCCCGTGCTACCACTACACCACAGAGGCTCCGTTGCGCAACCTCTGATCTTCAATGTCGATATGGATGAAATTCAACTCTAGTCTAAGATCAAATTTCAGCTTATCACTCAACTCTCTTGAGTATATCTGAATTCAAAAATTGTTGAAATTTATCGGTGATGTGATATGTAAGAAGATTGACCAGCACGCAGAAGTTCGACCTTGAACGGAAGTTGAACCTGCATTGTACCGTTGCCACGAACACGTGCTATCTACACCTAATTTTCATCGGTTTCCTCTCACGCAAAAACGCATAAAGGGCATATGGGTAAATGGTGTGATACCAAAGTCGTGAAAGAAATCTAGGCATTTTCCGTAAGCGAGAAAAAAACTTCAATCCTATAAAGAAAACCGCTTGTTGCTTGCGAATCGCACTGCGTTCGTCAAACTCTGCGTGGATCCGATGAGGTTAAGTGCGCTCCTGTATATATAAATATATACTTATATATACATATATATACATACATAGGGGTATATATATATATATATATATATATATTATATAATCCCGCATCCTGTCACTGTTCTTTATGTTTCGTTTCATCTATGTTCGTCTCTTTTCTTCCTTTCCTTTCTTCACATCCGAGTTTAATCGTAGCACATTTGTGTCTTGAAAAAAGGTTTTGTTGATTTTGCGTGTTGTTGCAGCCTCTGCGTGAGGACATCGTTTTTCTTCGTTAATGCAGTTGAATGTTAGTCGAGTCGATTTTTTCTGGATTCTTGAGATTGCCGGGTTTAGACATTCCCACTTGCGTTAGTGAAAGTGATGTACTTTCAGACTAGTCTTGTACTAAGTTCTCAATCCAGCATGGATGAGCGGTGCCTCTTGTACCCTTGCGCCACTTCAGAGAAATGCTTATTTGCATGAATGTGATTGTGCTGAAACCATATTAGAGCGCTTCCTGCTCGCATTACTCTCCATCATCAAATGGTTTGCCAATCTTGCTGATAATGAGTCCACTGAAGAGCTTATGAACGACAGATCATAAATAAATTGAGCGATAGTGGCCGTTATCGTGTTGGTCTCCCTTTTTTATAAAAAACATTATCGCTTCTCTTCTATCGTGCATTCTGGCTGCTACCATGTAAAAAGCCGTGCTAATTTATGATTGGCAGTGTTTTCTTTGGATACTTGATACAATTCTTTATGATCATTAGGTTAACCCTTAGACGACAACTTGTACCGTTTTCGGTACATAGCGTGCACCGCGCTCACAACGGTCCGACGGCGGGTTCGTATCATCACGCGCATCTATGAAAAGAGAATTTTATTTGCTGATTCAGGTTCTGAAGACGCATTATTAGCATCAGATGATGAGACATCACACAAGAGACTTCTAAAGAGGCTTTTTTTGGTGAAGAAAACGTTCTTCTGCCGGAAAATTATTTTATCTTTTAATGAAAGAAACACATCCTTTCGATAGGAAACTTACTACCAGTTGTTATATAACATCTGTTTCTTACTTTATAATCTATGTTTTTATGCTCATTTGATAGCTTGGACAATGCCGATACGGACTTTCGTACCACATTCTACCAACGAAAAAAAGACGAGGTTTTGCTCTCGAAGTGCACTGTTTCGGTTTCACAGCGGAACTTTCGGCGTTATATAATAAAATTTCAATGTTGAGCAAACTTTCCCGCTAAGAAAAATTGAACAATTTTTGGATGGATTCTATAAACGTATCTATAATAAAAAGAATACTCAGTTGTCTTAAGAGTCCTTATTTTCTATCACGAACTGCATGGATGCGGTTGCATTATATGAAAAGTGCTTGTGTTCCCCTCTTTTATTCTGAGAAGAATTTTTTATTAGATTAGTAGTAATTATTCAATAGCTTGAGAACTAGAGATTTTATCAATGAGTTTGGTTTCTGAAAGTACGATCTGTTAACTGAAAGAGTATTACGTTTGCTTCCTAGTACGCTGTTCAAAGTTCACAGCAATTTCTTTAGGATTACATCGTTAAATTCTGATCCTGGGAAACATTGATTCAATGAAAAAATGTCACAGAAGGAAATTCTATGAAGAACTGCTTAAAAATAACTCCCATGTACCAAAAAACCATGTCAGTTTCAGCGACAAAATCTCATTGTCATGAAAGAATTCATAATTTAAGCTGTTATATAACATTCGTTTATTCCTTTTTATCTACTTTCTTGTTGTCATTCAGTAGCTCGATATATAGCGATTTTCATATTTTTGCTTTGTGCAGGACCTCCGTGGTGCTTTCCACTGAACTAAGTGAAAGATGACATTTTGCAACTAGAGTTCATTACTCAATTTAGCCCAGGATTTTCTGGCTTTGTATAGCGAATTTGTGATTATCAGTAAACTTGTTTTTAGCAGAAACGCAGCCTGGTTCTCGAAATTTTCCTTTTTTTTCATTACGATCCATGTGAACTGCAGCTACATTCTTCAACTGTGCTCGTTTATGTTTGCCTTTTTTGCACAAAAGACCATTTTTTCTAAACTATTAGTAATCCATCAATTGCTCGAGAAATGGAGATTTTCGTAGTAGGTTTTCTATTGCAAATTCTTCTTATCACGGTGTAACAAAGATGAAAAGTGGACAGCGCTTCTTTCTGGATTAGATGAGACGTTGATTGAATGTTGCACTGGCTTTTTTTTTTGATACTTCTACAGTCGATTTTAATTTTACAGCAAATTTCATATTTTAAAATGATAAATAAGTTATTGGGGTAACGTGTTTTTTTTTTGCATGGGGAATGCCCATATAATCTAAAAATCCTCCGCTCCAAATCGAAAAGTACATCCTTAAGAAAACCACACTTCTAGCTCTTAATGTGCATTGGAAGTGCACCAATACGTCCTAAAATAAGCGTTCAGTAGAAATGCTACAAGAATGAATTTACGTCCAACTCTTACTGTAATTCAAAGGAATTTCAGCGCCATGAGTGTATTGAAAAGTAAGCAATTGTTGGGAGTTAGTGGGTAGATCACTTTTGGGCAAACATTCAATCGACTCAAATTCTGTTTATTTTGACTGCCACTTGCAGTAGTATGGTGTTATTAGTATACCCAATATGTGTAGTGCTGTGCAAAAGCGTTTGGGTCAGCCGGGATTCGAACTCAGATCTCACTCTTTCCGGGAGCGTATGCTACCCATTGCACTACCAACGCTCGTTTTACACAGCACTCTTATTTACGCTACAACGCGTTGCCTGCCAACAGCCAACCGTCGACGGTCTTGCGGGGCAGCCGCTATCGGCATTGAACCCACTTGTGTTGACAGACATTGGATATCGATAATCAGTCTAAATTCTGTCTATTTTGACTGCCACTTGACCACTGTATGATGTTATTAGTGTTAAAACGAGCGTCGGTAGTGCAATGGTTAGCATACGCTCCCGGAAAGAGTGAGATCTGGGTTCGAATCCCGCCTGACGCAAACGTTTTTGCACAGCACTCTACATATTGGGTATTCAATCGATTTCTTATTTTTAATCAATATCAGGACGTTGCTGCGACTTTTTGAAACAAAGTCGTCTCGAAACTAAAAGATTCTTATAGTAAGTTTGATGTCAAGAGAGCAAAATGATAAAGCGATTGATTAATTCATATAATTCACTTTCGGCAATGAGTAAGAACGAAGAGCTGTCAACATGAAAAGTAAAAGATGAATATGACTTGAATGAGAAAGAATATCAATAAGATAGCATCAAAATTTTCAATAGCAGTTTAAACATGACATTTTCGTGAGTGTCAGGCTTTCCTTGGAATGCGAACTCTCAGGAGGTAGCATTGGTAATGCTCCTACGACAAGTAGCTTTTTCGAACTCTCTTCTATCATATTTTATGATTTTCTGGCGATAATAATCCTGTTAGTGACCACGAAAATCAAAATGTCATTAGAAAACTGCCGCATTGTATTTGCAGCTTGGCGCTTGGGCATCGCAAGGCATAATCGTCAGGATGACATGCTGCCGACTGGAACAAAGAATGAACGATTTTGGAAGCTGATGTCGAGCGAAAAATCTAGTGCAAAGTTTTGAAGTGCATCTGGATACCTACACACTAATATGGACTATGACACTTAATGGGATGTCTACCTGGGGAATTCGAAAATCATCTAATTAATTATGATGAAGGGGTTCTCCTTGCGATATACGCTCTCATTCCATGTCATGAAAAATACGGTGAGAATCAGAAGATTGGTGAAACTGCCGTTTCAACCAAAATATAAAAGTTCGAAAAAGATGTGCATGGGATACGTCTTGATGACAGCGGATATAGAAGGAAAGTGCTGATTTTCCTTTAACGTTGGTTAAGGTGGTAATTGAGTTTTTATCTTTCAACTTCGACAACAATGAAAAGATCGGTAAATATGTAGATTTGGTATGAGGATTGCAACACATATCTGGAGTGTTGCCTGTTGAACCGATCCAAACAATAGCAGAAACGCTCAACTACTATGCTGATTTCGACATTTATAGACGGAAGCAAAATATTCTGAACAAGTGCTGCAGTGTAATTAAACTCAAATGAACATGTTAAGATGTTGACTGGAGTCGATCAATTAGAAAAAAAAACTATTCTCAAGCAAGTGAACTGACATTATCATTAGGATCGATTGAAAACTGTCATTCTGATTAGCCGATAAGTGGATATATAACCAGCTATTTTATCGAGTTTGCAAAAGGACTAAACATGTAAGGCTGGTGCAAAAGTAACTGCGGTTTATGCTCTGTTAAATATTTGAAAAATATTAGAACTTGAAAAGATTGCGTAATAAATTGAAATTGCAGCTACTGCTGCATCAACCTAACATTATATTCCATCTTGTGAAACTCTATATTCTCTGGCACTAATAGGAGTAATAGGAGTGTATAATGCAGTTGAAGAACGCAATTCTGCTATGATCTTTAGTTGACATATTGTATTCCGTTTCGAACGAATTGCTATCAGAACGGGTCAGGAGGTTTCTTTGAGGCGTCGCCTCAAGCATTCACTAGCCCGCCTTTGCG